TAATCCCAGTGGATCATGAGTTAACACAAACTCTACAAGTCCTCACCCCATGACTGCATGAGGCTTGGGGGGACAACTAGACACAAACCATAACAGTATACAAATGGCTCTCCTCAACCTTTACACCTCAATATATATAAAAAATTTTTGGTTATAATTTTGAAAACTTTACATTGAGAGAAAAAAATAAGTCTTGCAGAACTTAAAGGTAGTTTTATCTTTTGAAGAAGCAAAACTTGCTCATTCATTTAAAAATGTGTGCAGGAATTTATAAACATAAAGAACTGGTATTCTTAGTGCAACAAGGGTCAAAAGAAACACTTACCACATATGGTAATGCAAATTCTTCACACATTTCTATGGCAATTTTGTCTTTTTCTGTAATTCCAGCAACACTATCTACTAGTAAAAATGTTCTCTTTAAACTACAAAATATAGAAAAGAAGATTAATGGCAAAGTAAGATACACTCATTTTTATTACCACTCATATTTATTAAGAAATTTTCCTTTGAATAATTTTCAATTCAAGTTTTAAAAATTTAGGCAAAAGGAATTCAGAATTCATGAGTAAATTCATCCTATGGTACTGAGTCTTAATGCTGTTTATTTTCATAACCAAATTTGTTAAATATTTTAATTTATTTCAGCAAGCATGTATTAAACTCAAATCTGTATGGACTTTACATAAAGATGCATGAACCCCTTTCTCCAATAACTTAAAATCCAATTTAAGTTATCGCCAAAATGTTTACCTTTTTAAATATTACTTTAGGATGAACAGGTAACAGAAACCAAACACATTATATTTTGCATTTTTGTTTGCAAATATTTCATCACAGTTTCTATGTAAAACTACAAAAACAAGTTATATAAACACCTTAACATTTTTCTCTATATTGTACAATTCTTAAGTACAACTGTCCTTATATCCCTTGACTACATAGGGAGACAAAAACATAAAGGTATTTTCAGAAGATGTGATGGCTGAGATATTTCAAGAATGATCACAATTTTCTAAAGTTTATTTAAACCTAGTGATTATCACATTAAACAACAATTTAAAAAAAATGTATTCAGTACACAGTCTACAGGGTCTCACTACGCAGATCGGACTCATAGTGACACTCCTGTTTTCAGCCTTCCAAGTGCTGAAATTACAGGTGTGTGCCACCATGCCCTCATGGCATGCCCAGCATTGAACCCTGGTCCTTGTGTCTGCCTAAGCAGGTGCTTTAATCTGCTAAGCTATCTGGCTGGCCTGAAACAACAATTTTTATTTTCAAAATTATCCAGCTAACAGTTTACTTAAAATTAACTCTGCTAATGTATTCTTTATATTTTCAATTTAGAAATATCCTTCAATTTAAAATCAGACTCAGAGGTGGCAACCAAAAAATAATGTAACATATCTCGGCCCTAAGTACTTTAGTATTGAATATTGTAAAAGTAAAATAAACCTAAAATAAGTTATTCAATAAAACTGAAGTGTTTATCACATGTCTATTGATAAAAATATCAATGGTGCTAAATATGCAGCTATCATAAAAAAGTTTTTCTTACTTTCTTCGTTCTTTTAGATAGGTCTCTACCATGTCAACAAAATCTTCAGGTGCTCTATAGCCATAACCTGGCATGTCCACCAATACAAAATATTTTCCAACTTTGAAAAAATTCATTTTCTTTGTGTGCCCCTGATGAATAAAAACAAAAAAAAAAAAAGCTGACTTATAACACATCCTTTCTACATTTCATGATTTTCAGTGTTTTTTATTCAATCAGCAACTATTTACTGAAAGCATATAATCCTAGCTACTTAGTCATGACTCAGGAAAAGATAGAGGCAAAGGGCTGAAGATAAGCTTAGGTCATACTTTTATCCTCCATCTTTCTTAAAAATAGAATTCCAAGTACTTAAGAAATTACCAACGGAGTGAAAAGAAAACCCACAAATCTGGAAAAACTCTTAACTAATAATCACTCAGACAAAGGTCTTCTATCTAGAATATATAAAGAACTAAAAAAATTAGGGCCCCAAAATTTAAAGACCCAATCCAAAAATGGGAATCTGAGATGAATACACACTTCTCAGAGGAAGAAATACAAGAGGCAAATAAGTACCTGAAAAAATGCTCTACATAACTGGTCATTCGAGAAATGCAAATTAAAACAACCTTGAGATACCATCTCACCCCAGAAAGAATGGCTATCATAAAGAAATTAACTAATAACAAATGCTGGAGAGATGCTACAGAGAAAAAGGAACCCTTCTCCACTGCTGGTGGGAATTTAGACTGGTACAACCACTATCAAAATCAGTGTGGAGATTCCTCAAAAAACTAGGACTAGAAATCCCATTCAATCCAGCTATTCCCTTTCTGAGAATTTTCCCAGAACTGAAAACATTGTACCACAACAATATATGTGTGTCCACTTTTATAGCAGCACAATCTGTCATAGCCAAGTCTTGGAAGCAACCAAAATGCCCATCACCTGATGAATGGATGAAAAAGATGTGGCATTTTTATATAATGGCATATTACTCAGCTATAAAGAAAGGCAAACTCAAAACTTAAATAGGTAAGTGGATGCAACTAAAGGCTATACTCATAAGAGAAATAAATCAGACCCACATGTGTAAATATACTGTCTCCCTAGTGTAAGAACCCAAAAGAAATAAAACCTGAAGGGTATAATAGATATAGTAAAATAGAAAGAAATGGAACTTAAGGATTAAACAATGAAGATCAAAGAAAGGAGAAAAGAAAAAAGGTAGGAGAAAAATATGCAAGTATATATACAGGATGGCTAAGGTGATTGTACTAAAAATCTCCATCAGTTTTTTGAAAATAGCAGTTAATATGTAGAATTTTCACCTTGACCGACTGTATGCTGATATCTGCAATCTAAGCAACTACCTTGAGGACAGCAATGTATAATACAAAACCTAGGCTTGAATACCTGTCATCTTGATCTTCTAAATGGGTACCGTTTCTAATGTATCAATTATTATTATACTTCCTTTAAAACAAATTAAAAAAAAA